GGGCTTAAATAAGTAAAAAGCACGCCTCTCGTCTGAATAATCGCAAATGCGAAATAATTTAGCGAAATATTCATGCTTACATATCAAGGCGCTTGAGACAAAGAAAAGCTATAAATAGCGCACGTTTTAATAAGAGGCGTAGCTGTGCTGTGCTCAGGTGTGTATCAGATCAAGAGAGGGCACGGCTCATGTGTGAGTGTGTGTGTGTGTGTGAGGGAGGGAGAGGGGGGTGTGAGAGAGAGAGTCTGTCTTTGTGTGTGAGAGAAAGAAGGTGTGTGTGTGTGTGCATGAGATAGTGAAAGAGTTACGCCCCCCCCCTGGCGGTCGCGACGCGGCGGGGGGGGGGGGGGGCGAACGAGTGCGGAGCGTGTGTCGCGCGCTCGCTCTGTGCCTCTCGCTAAGGGGCAGTTGAGGTTTGAGTCAGGCCACTCGCCTGACGGAGCAAATTGGAGGCAAGTGTAGCAAGGTGAGCAGCAAAGGGCGAGGGGGCGCAGGGAATTTCTCTTCACGGTCTCGCGAAAGGAGTAGAGCAAGAGAGAAAAGCAGTGAGAGCACCACCGGGGGCGGTAGGGGGGGGGGAGAGGTAGAGAGAGAGAACGAGGGAGAGTGCGGGAGGGAGAGAGAGAGAGGGGGAGTGCGGGAGGGAGAGAGAGAAAGAGGGGGAGTGCGGGAGGGAGAGAGAAAGAGGGGGAGTGCGGGAGGGAGCGTGAGAGGAAGTGGTTGGTAGGAAGAGGAGGATTGGGCTAGAGTAGAGGTGTGTGGCGCACGCGGAGATTTATTGCTCAGCACCGGTATTAGATATGCCTCTCGCTCTCTCCCCCCGGCGCGACCATCTCTCCGACCAGATCTCCGTACGCTCTTTCTCCCCCAGCAAAATTTATGAGCAGCGGAGAGTGCTTCGAATGCTACATGTTTATTGCATTGTTCCCGACGGAAGCAGCCCCCTCCCCCAGCTCTCAGCCTCATACGGCGGTCGCGGACTGCGGTTCCGGACCAAGAGGGGGTCTAGGTGCGTCGACATGCCTCCCACCTGCAGCGTTCGTCCGCCCGGCATACCACTGCCAGGTAAAGCCAACACTGACAGACATTCGACTTGAAAGATAAACCATATGAAAACACCTATCAACCCTGTCAGTCGTTTCGACACATGTTTCATCAAATATAAAAACAACGTCTCTAATTTTGCTTCCATTATTTTGTGGCACTGAACCTATGTGTTATGTCCTCCTAATTTCGCCTTCTTTTCCCATCGTCTCTTATCTCTTTCTCCCGCTGGCCTCGCTCCTCCCCTC